TTTTAAATAGTTGATTTGATATTAACATTGATATATTTTTTTTTTAAATTTCTTTGATATCTTTAAATTTATATTTTATTCAAAAATAAAATCATTACTGTTTTTTTTTAAAACACATAAAATCGTATTATTACATCGACAGAGACAAATAAAAAAATAGAACATTAAAATCGAGATGTGTTTCGATGTATTGCGTGAGTACTCTTCTAGTATATATATATATAATTAATCATATTTTACTAATAGAATATATATTATCTTCAAGAATAAAGATTACACCTTGATACAATAATAATTAAAAGAATAAGATATTATTTTTACACATTAAAAATGTAAATCAAATATGGTTAGAAATATCATACAAATAATGTATCTCATTATGGATACAAAACTACATGTCTTTGTACATACTTCGTCAATTGAAAGAGAACAAACAATACCGTGAAAAGCAAAGTATTGATGATCATGATACACCTTTTGTCACTTGTAAAATACACATTAACCTCAATAGTGAGTCAAAAAATCTCTTTTTATATTGATGTCTTTAAAATGGGTTTTATATAAAATTGTCAGTAATCAGCTTTTTACTTAAATACAGTAATTTAGATGATAACAAATTAAAGATTTATACTTTTATATGGTTTTCCTCCTGTTGAGAAACACATGTGAAGGAATGGTTGAGAGAGATGTTATGGAGAAAGAAAAACCAAGATTCATTCATAATATTTTTATATATTAAAATTCGACAGTTTACAAACATGTCCACAACCAAATTAAATGCTTTTATTTCCAATTTTGATTTCTTTATTTTATTTCTCTTTGTGTCTCCAAGATACCCTTACAAATTAAATGTATATCTCTTGCCTCTATATATGTTTTCTGCTATTTTCCATGTGATTTCTCTACATGGGATCTTGATTTTATTAAATTATTAATTAGACAAGTGTCATTTTAATAAAGAATTTAATTCAGATCGAAACCAAATAAAAACTACTTGTTCTTCAAGTGAATAAATAAAAAAATATTTATCATAAATTCAACTGCTATATTAGTTTATGGTTATAAGTATAACCATACATACTATTTATTAATCTATACTATATTATAAACTATTTGACAAAAACTGTTAAAAATCATTTTTTATGCGTAAAGTATTGATTATTAATGGATATTACTTAAAACTCAATATTACAAGTAGATTGTACGTAAGTACAACTTATTAAAACTTCATGTCTGAATTCGTCTAACTAACTGGCAGATAAACATAATCAAATACATGATAAACATCTCATTTTAAATATAAAAAATTTAAAATATAATTAAGATAATATTGAGTTATAACAGAATACTAAATTATTATCTTTATAAAATGTTATATTATTAAACCAAAAATA